AATTTAAAATTCAATACTAAATGTTCTAAATTTGTGAACTACTAATTTAAAATTCAGGACATAAGATCTGAATTTATGGAGAGGTTCAAAATTCAGAACGTTGTGTCTTGAAATTTGTTCGAATTGGCTAATCTTTAAATAAATTGTAAACTATAAATATATTTTAAACAACATATTTAATAGTGACTACTTGTTGTCATCTCCACTCGTGTAATATGACTTGGCGGTATATAATAGAGAAAACTATCCTCTATAGCCCCTCAAAATTTTAATAGCTCATGTTTTTTCTCATTGACACGAAATAGCCCTCCGACCCAAACATATTACATCTAATAGCGCGAAATGTCTATTTTGTATATTTTTTGTATAGTGATAGTCTATTGTATATAAATTGTATAGTGGCAGTCTGTTCTATATAAATTGTATAGTGGCAGTTTATTTAGTATATTTTCGTATAGTGACAATCTATTTTGTATATTTTTTGTATAGTGATAGTCTATTGTATATAAATTGTATAGTGGCAGTCTGTTCTATATAAATTGTATAGTGGCAGTTTATTTAGTATATTTTTGTATAGTGACAGTCTATTTAGTATATTTTTGTATAGTGACAGTCTATTTAGTATATTTTCGTATAGTGACAGTCTATTTAGTATATTTTCGTATAGTGACAATCTATTTTGTATATTTTTTGTATAGTGACAGTCTATTTTGTATAGTGACAGTCTATTTTGTATATATTTCGCATAGTGACAGTCTATTTTGTATATATTTTGCATAGTGACAGTCTATTTAATATATATTTTGTATAGTGACAGTCTATTTTGTATAGTAACAGTCTATTATATATAAATTGTATAGTAAAAGTTTATTTAGTATATATTTTGTATAGTGACACTTGAAAAATTAGATCAATGGGCTAAAATACACTGATATGGTATATATTTTTAAGTATATATGAGTTAAATAATGTGTAATCAGATACTCAGAAGCCCAAGTCTTCTTTACCACAGTTCTCTTCCAAATTCTAGGCCTTTCTATGCCCCAACTACTTGTTAGGTCGGGTTGAACGCTAGCTTACTTGGTGTATTTTTATTTTTTACGATTGAGATAAAAAATTCAAACTCCATTAGTATCGTGGCATTCCTTTCTTCCTCCCCTGTACAACACATTTGGGTACCTAAAGGTGAGCGAAACTGGAGAGCATCGAAAATGAATAAAGTGAAGAAAGATAAAACTTGGGCGATTTGCAGAATTGCACCTGAAGGAATTTACCAAGGAGGGAAGACTCCTTCAAAGAAGGAAACTCATTATTTATAAAAGGAGCAGTAATCAAATGTTGTTAAGTCTACTTTATGTCATCGTTTTATCGGCCAATGAAAATGAATTTGAACTCATGAGTCATAAGTGGGGTTTGTTGGATCTCTTGACGTAAAGACTATAAATAAAATTAAAATATTAAACACTCACCGAGAAATAAATGTAATAATTTAATTGTGGATTAATAGACAAACGGTCCTTCTCCGTGTATAACGCCTGCTTAACCCATTAACTAATTAAGCAAAAAAAAAAAAGACATGCAACTTCGTGGTTACAACTTGAAACATCCTTCAGTTCATTATTTATGGACTCGCTTCTATTAAAAATAAAAGATAATTGTTTGAAGGGTAATAATTTGTAAGGGGAATTATAGGTGGCAGAATAAGGGGAAGGTATGGATTAAAGTAGGTTATGGAATTGAAAAGTTCAAAATTTGAAGGGGAAGAGTGGCTGTGGTTTTGGGCTAGCCCTTGTAATTGGTGTTGGGCTATTAATCGTATAGTTTATTATGTGGCTACCTATTGCCATTAGTTTTTCCGAGATGGCTACAAATGAAGTTTCCTCTATATAATACCCATTTTGCTTCATTGTCACCCCTTGTATAACGAAAATCGAAGACTAGCATAACAGTATTATCCATATTTTCATAATTAAATATATAATAAAAATAAAATCTTACATAAAAGAATGTTCATTTAATTAACAAAATTTATTATTTGAAGCAGAATAATAAAAATAAGGATTTTTATAAATTAAATCTTAGTATATTATTAAACAATACAAGAAGCTTATATGTTCAACTAGAGGAGGGATGGCCCAAATATTAGTATTTATACTATATTAAAAGCACGAATGCCTTTAGCGAAATGTCGTTCGCCTTTTTTACCCTTAAAAATTAAGTTTACACCAGACAAAATAATAATTTTATTATTTTTCTAATATTTAGAAATAGTTATTTAATTCATTCCCTAAAATTTAGAACTTCAAAATCAATTAAAGATTGTGTACCAAATCCTTCCTTATTTGAGCCATGTAATACAACATATCTGTAAAAAAAAATTGTACGTTTCATTAACATGTAAAAATCTTTGGATGGAACACTTTCAATTCCTAAAGTCATATTAGGAAACGTATGAGCACTTTGGAATCCTTTTAGCTATAGGAGTCCTTTTTCTTAAACATTAACCAATTATATTTCTATAAATATTTTAGGCAAAAGTTTTGTTAAGTATAATATTTTACCTTATGTAAAATATTTTACCTTATGTAAATTGTACTAATTGACAATACATCCTTTGTGGAATACGTATAAAATCAAGATGAGAACGATGGCGACTTCAATTAATTTATAATTATTAAAAAATGGAGACATAAAATCACATACATTAAATTAAAATTATTTAATACAATAACGTCTAATTATATTTCAATGCAGAATATTTAAATATGTGTTTTAAGTATTCTTATGTAATCATATAAAGTAATTAATTCATGTTCAATTAAGCACCCAAAATAATTATTTAATGTCATATTTATTTATAAAAAAATATACAAGCCTAAATTTATCTATATGTATATATATCTATACTATATTAAAAGCACGAAACCCATATCGAAATGTCGTTCGCCTTTTTTACCCTTTAAAAGTTAATTTCACACTAAATAAAATAGTTATTTAATTATTTTTCTAATATTTAAGACCTCAAAATCAAATAAAATTTTATTTAAGAATATCCTAATATTTATGTCTTCAAATTCAATTAATTTACCTTATTAAATTTTTTTCCTTATTTGACTAGTTTTTATAAATATCCTTTTGGAGTTTAGTACGTGAATGTTAAAGTTTTTTTTTATTTTTTATTCTTAGCCTCTAAGGTATATAATAGTACTTTTTTCTCCAAATTGCCAATAATTGATTACCTAAAAATATGGAACATCCGTTAGCAATGTATGTTCGCTTTTTCCTGTTAAATTTTTAAGAGTTTTAATTTAATCTTAACTTTAAATTTTTAGAAGTCTGAACTAATATGGTGTTAATTTAGAAGTAAATTAAGCTACAATCATACTATGTGAATTTGCNCGATAATTTTGAAAATTGACCTCAACATTGTGAACTGTTGAAATTTCAAAATTGTTATTAGCAGAGCGCATTCAAAGTGAGTTTAGGATATTATTGATTTTTATTTGGTATTGGATGAACGTGCAAAGAAGAAAATTTAGACTTAAATCAATAAGAATCCATGCAACGTTTTTACACAAGAAGAGGTTCATTTGGCTATAATTTTGATTAACTTTGAATGAAGACATATTTTTTTGTATAACAACATTATGAACGTAGAGTTTACAAAGAGATACTAGATGAGATACAACAACATAGCATATTTGTATCTTATATAATAAAATATTTATAACTATAAATACTATAGAACTAATTACAACTAATTGTCATTCAGAAAATGTTTAATTCAGCTATATATTATATCAATTAGGGGTGTACAAATCGAACCGAAGAACCGCACCAAATCGAAAGGTCAAACCAAATCGATTAAAAAAACCGATGATGTTTGGTTTTAACTTGGTTTGGAATTGAGTAAAAATAAATCCGAACCAAACACGGGATATAAATATATAATTTTTATATATACTTTTAAGACTTTATATATAATTTTCTTTAAAAAATATCTATAAATATTTGGGATTCTATTATGAGATGTAATATTATATAGAATATGACGTGCTCCATTTTTATTAACTTTAAATAATATGTTGTATGATCACTTTCTTATCAAATGTTATTGAAATGTGTCAATCTTTTTATTTTTCCATATTCATATGTCAGGATCTATTATATTCTTATATCTTTTTCGAATTTGAAGTGGCATTTCGATAATTGAAAATTAAATAGAACATATCATTATATAGGTATCATATTGATATTTATATTTAATTATTAAATTTAATTAACTTTGTAAGTGTATATTTACGAAAATTTATTGTCAGACAACTAAAAATATAACTATCATGAGTTACTAAGAAAATTCTCCCATAAGAATATTTTAATAGATCATATATTTGTCCATTTTTTTTAGTTTTTATCAAATATATATTTACTTATAAAATTTAATAAAGTAAGATAGACATATTATTCATGTAATAAAAAAATTCGAAAAAGCCAAAAATATCCGACAAAACCGAACCAATCCTGTAGCAACCCCTTTGGGAGGGTGCTACTTACGAAACAAATCTAATTTACTACTTACAATATTAAGAAGATATTAATTAAAAAATATTCAGAATAATTTAGTAGCGGAAATAGGCTCATGCAATGAGGTCCAAAGTGCAATATTTTTATTTTTGAAAATACTCTTCATAATTTTTATTTTATTTTTTAAAAATAAAATACAATGTCAAAATTTTAACATAAGGTGATATAACCCTTCTTGAATAATCAACACGTTAAAGCAACTTCCTAACAAAATTATACTTTCATTCGACATCACTGCAGGTTTGTATTGTACATAAATTTCAAACTATCGGGTATAAAAAGAAAAATTAGTTTTCTCCTCTGTACATATATATAAGACAAAGTGTAAATTTAACATATTACAAGACTTGAGTTATTAACACACCTTAAAACAATAAAATAAGTTACCAAATTCAAGTTACAAGATTTTGGTCTTAATATCCAAGCCTCCAAATAACATACATAAGTGTGACATATATATCATGTACAAGTCCCAAAACTATACAAAACCATGATGCATATGCAAATGTGATCTCCATAAGTGCTCCCAAAAAGACTACTTCATAAGGCCGTCTTCAAATTCCATCCCGTACATTACCTACGATAGAAAACAACTATCGCTAAGCATAAAGTTTAGTGGCATATAAACTTTGGGGGCTTAGAGTCATTAACTTCTCCAATTCTCATTTTTAGTCATAGGTAGCTCAAATGAAATATAATTTAAAACAAGTGAACAAATATATCAAAAGTATCAAATATCAACCCTTGAAGTATTTCCAATTATCAATAACTATGTTCAAGATTCAAGAGTTGAGAAAGCGTATACTATCAATCCAAGAAAGTTTGTCAAATATTTATTTTTCGCCCAATATGTACGTCATGCCATCACACTAAGCAAAATCAGATATCAAGACGGACCGAAGCCCAAAATAAAGTAGAATCAAAACCCAATAGTCAAGAGAATCAAGAACTATATTAAAAATGGCTTCCTAGTTCGTACTTAACACGGACAAGTTCCATAATTTAAGATGAACTACAAATCCAAAGTCAAGATGGCAAAAGATCCAAATCAAGAGGCATGCCAAGACGAGTGACAAAGTCACTGCCACAAGAAGGACAAAGTCTCAACAAGAATGCAAAATGATCAAACAATCCGTACGAGTGGGTGATTTAATAAATATCTTGCAATACTTGATATAACACGAATACAATACTATTAATTGAAGAGAAAAAAAATAAAATATCAAGTTATTTCAAAATATTCCAACAAGTAAAAGAGTACAAAGTTTATACACAAACCTTGGTGTTTTATCACAAAATAGTTCAACCACAACTTGAGGACGTTCGAATCGTCTACGCCCTAGACAAACCAAATCCGTCCACTTCCTCAAATACTTTCCCTTAGCTTTTACAAGGATATATATACCTTAAATACATAATAAAATATCTATATAAGTTCAGTGATTTAACATGTTAAACTAAACATGATATTGGTAAACAACCCAAAATTTTTGAAACATAAATTATAGACAGTATCACTGCCTCGTGTTGTGACTCAGATTTGAAGATGAAAAATGACAAACTAGACTGTGTGGTCTTCTTTACAGTTGTAGATATGTGTCTTAGAGTTTCAGAACATTTTGCATAACCCCCATATCAATTTTGTACAAAAGGTTATGCTAAACTTACTAACAGTAGTACAGGGAGGGTTTGTAAAATAGAAAATCTGGGCAGTACCCTCCCTATACTTCATCACCTATTTCTGGGTAAATAAAAGACAAACTAGATTTTGGTTCCTTCATAAGAGTTATAGATCTATGAAATATCTTTCCAGAAAGTCTTATATCACTTAAAACAGAGCTTTATACAAAAAGATATGAAGAAAACACTAATAGCTGTCTAGTGTAAAAACGGGTTTAGTAACTTACCACAAAAGAGATGAGCAACTTGAGCTTCACCAAGAATGAATTTTGCTGGTTGGTTTAGTGAAAATTTATGGTAGTTTTCATTAAGTTTTCAGGTGATAAGAAGTAGAGAGGGTAGGGGTATTTTTCTTTTTCTTGAAAGAATGAAAATGGGGAGTTTATGGAAGACTAAGTCAATCAAGGTTGTCTTTAAGAATTTAGGATAAATATGAAATATAAATGGCTGCCCAACTACTAAATATCCTTATATAAATACAAAAGAATGGCAACCAAAAAACTTAATTATAATGTATTTAATAATAATTCATCAAAACAATATTAAGTGTTACGCATAGCAACACCATGTAACTTCTTTGTTAGTATTAACACAACCTAGAGTAAGGAATATTCATGTATTGTAAATTTCACGTTTAGGAAGTGCGAAGTAAATTTTTTTTCTCATTATAAAGATGCTCAATCGAAAATATAAATATTAGTAAAAATTTGGGGTGTTACAAATACAAAAGGATATAAATAGTTTGGTTTGGTTTTAACAAAAATCGAACCAACCCGGTCCATGTACACCCCTAATATTAATATACTAATACATTTTTTATCATTTAAACACATATTGCATTTAGTTTTACCTCTGTTGCTATTTTTTAATAATTTGTATATATTTTATATTGATTAACGTGATACACGCGTGCAACGTACGTACACTATAACTAGTATTATTAAACAATACAAGAAGCTTATGTGTTCAACTAGAGTAGGGATGGCCTATGCTGAGCATGGGCCCAACATTTTATTACAACAATAATTTCCTTGATTGTATTACTCCAATTATTTTGCAAAGATTTTTTAATTAATTTAAATAATATATTTAAATATGGATATTTCATATACATCTTTATTCAATAAAAACTATTGCATTTTTGAGTTAATCATTTGATTTTAAACATATTTTGTTGGGATTAAACATCAATGAAGAATGAATAAAAGGTGAGCAATATTTCATCAACTTACTTTTCTTTGTGTTTGTGCGTTGTTATTTCCTCATATTCTATTTTTGGTTGAACAAAATTCACAGGCAACACATTTTGGTAGTTTCTTAGCGCGTATATTTAAGAAAAAAAATATAATTTATTTAAACTTCGTCAAGTTGTGAATAATCAAAGAGTTTGCATTTTTCTTCATTGATAGTTCATTTGTTGATAATATTAAATAAGATGAGATGTCTTACATGTGTTACATTAGAAGTGAACCTCGAAATATAGAAACAACTATTTCTAATGGAGATACCAATTCTCTGCTCTTTCTTTTATAGACTTTTCTCATTAAGTGCTTAAATTAAAGACAAATGTTTGAGCAATTGTACCTTGAAATGTTTACTTGACATTCAAAATAGTCATGAAAATTCAAATGATAAAGTTATTACAGTTTGAACAGTAATATCATGAGTTTTAATTTGAGTCTGTGTTTTTTCCTGATCAGATTACTCTTTTCTTGTTATATATACAAAAAAAAAAATTATTATTAATATTTTGAATTATAATAAAAAATTACTTAATATTTTGGTTTGAAATGGCACAATAATATTAAGGATTAGCATTTTATAAAAAAAATTGTATTTTGCTCGATTATAGTAGTTAATATTATGCTTGGTTTTGTTTTTAATATTAAATAGAATATTAAGGCAAAAAATATTCTTCAATCGCCTAACATGGATGGCATATCAATGCCCACCTCAAATTTTCTATAACACATCATTAAAATTTTAATTATTTATATTATTTAAAAAATTTAATCTGTCTTTTTCTATTTTCTATTTCATCATCCTCTCCACCACTTCCTCCTCCCCCACTATCTTTATTCTCGACCATTCACCTCACCTTTACCACCACCTTCAAACAACCTACAAATGATAATATTCAAATAGTACTTATCTGTTTCACCTGTTCCAATTTGATTCTATATGTTCGCTCTTTATTAATTTATTTGAACCTTTTTTTAGTCTGTTCCAATATTTTTTTTTAAACTTAGAAATAATTTAACTTAAACTTAGTATTTTGCCCTTAATGATAAAAATATTGTGACATGTTTACCACCATGGATTTCAAAAATTTTATAGCCACACAAGTTATTAAATATTTAAAACCACCGGTTTAAAAGTCTTCATTTCTTACAAATTTTGCAAATCAAACTAATTATATTTAATAAAAAATTTATATAATATAATTAATTTATGTACTTTTTCTTCTAAATATTATTGGGAACGTAATAAAAGTCAAGTTGTCATCGTATGAAAATAGAAGCGCCCATTAAAAGCATTATCATAAATAACCCTTGATATTATTGCGTTCTTAGCCCTTGCTACTAATTTTATTTTTTTAATCTTAAATCTAAAACACTCCCAAAACTTTAGTAATTAATGGTGGTTTCTACGGCTGTTGCTGGGAAATGCAACACAATTTTTTGAAGAGAGCAGAAAACGACTTCTTAATTTATAAAAAATTAAGCAAGTTCAATTTGAAATTCTTTTTCGGAAAGTTGACCCAGGGATTAGTCTATAATTCTCATCAATTATCAAAGTTTATTAGTTTGGCACTTTTTTGTTGTTGCTATTTTAGTTTATTTGTTCATAACAGATTAGATAAATTAAGAGGGAGAGACAGTAAAAACTATTTGAAAGCAAAAAATTAAATGGAAACTATTTATGCCAGTTTAATAATTCTAAAACCCATGCAATCGGTCTTATTTAACTCTCAAAAAAAAGAAATTTTAAAAAATGTAGTAATAGAGAAATAACTTAACATGGGAAAATGAAAGAACATAAATCAAACGTTTGCAGGCCACGTGGTGGACTCTTACTTCACATCACATGCAAGGCAAAAGGTGATAGGATGACATTTTGTACACTTTTAAGGGCATGCGAAGTTGCCTTAATTACCAAAATGTAGGATGGCAACTCGAGTAATAATAGACCAAATCAGGGTTGAAGTTTGAGAGAGCATCTGTCCTTTTCAAGCCACAGAAGCACAAAGCATTAAAATTTTCAAAGTACCCATCTCCTTACCCAAAACATAACCGGATGCACCTCAATTTATATTATAGGACAAATAAAAGAATAAAGTGAGATATCATGGTTTTTTTGTCAATTCACATTGAACAGAAACTCCTCTCCTTCTCCCTTATTTTCAGTAGTAAAGTAATAATAAAGTAAAATGCAAGGAAACTGCAAATAATTGATATATCTTATTATGTGTTATGAAAATAATTATATTGTGGATGTCCATTTATTACTCCGTTATAGATAATCTTCCTGAAGAAGATTATCCATTTAGTACTCTGTTGAAGTTTATCTACAAGCAGCTGATGCAGGCAGGTTGCAAGCAGTTCAATGAAATGATTTGCATCAGCTTCTTATTAAACAAGCATGTTGCAAGCAGCTCATGCAGACAGCTTACAAGCAGCTAAAGAAAAGCCTTGCAGCTACTTCCTGAAAAGCCTCGCAGCTGCTTCCTTTCTTCTATAAATAGAAAAGTTTTCAGTTCATTATGTACATAAGTTTGAAGTTTGAATAATATATCAGTTTCTCTCTATACTTGTCTTTACTTTACAATTTTTATTTTATAACTTATCAGCATGAGACTCTGCTATCTCGAGCAACTACTTTGAAAGTATCACATGTACAAACTTTCTTTTTTTCTAAATAATGTCAAATCTTTCTAAACTTGAATTTGTAGCCTTGGATGTATCGGGCAAAAGCTACATATCTTGGGTGCTTGATGCCGAAATTCATCTTGATGCGATGGGTCTGGCAGACACCATCAAGGACAAAAACCAGGCATCAAACCAAGACCGTGCCAAAGCAATAATATTCCTACGCCATCACCTTGATGAGGGCCTTAAAATAGAATATCTTCCTGTTAAAGATCCAGTCATACTGTGTGATAATTGGAAAGATAGATATGACCGCCTGAAGATGGTCGTTCTTCCACAGGCACGTTATGATTGGACTCATCTAAGGCTACAAGATTTTAAATCTATCAGTGAGTATAATTCTGCTATGTTCAGAATTATTTCCCAATTGAAACTATGTGGTGATAATATTACTAATCATGATATGTTGGAGAAAACTTTTACCACTTTTCATGCCTCGNCCGAGCAACATAATGGGCTATTAATGAAAAATCATGAAAGCCGACCTACTGGTTCTTGTCCATTCCCTGAAGTGAATGAGACGAACTTCCACCAAGCTAAGCGTGGAAGAGGACGTGGCCCCGGTCGTGGTCATGGCCGTGGTCGGGGAAGAAACTCTAATCATGGTAATAATAATGCACCAAATAACCCTCCTCACCACCAGCAGTGGAAAAGGAATGAGCAAAAGCATGAAGCGGTGCAAGCAGCAAAGCTAGAAAAGGCATGCTATAAATGTGGAGGAAAAGGGCACTGGTCACGTACATATCGTATGCCAAAGCATCTGGTTGAGCTATATCAAGCCTCCCTGAAAAAGACAAAGAAAAATGTTGAAGCAAATTTTATTTCTGAAGATAATTTAGACTTCATGCATTTGGATGTAGCTGATTACTTTGCACTTCCAAAAGGAGAAACAAGTCATGTTATCGGTAGTGAATATGTAGAGATGTAAATATTTTAATTTTTATTATTTATAGTAGATAGTATGGTTATGTAATAGTTGTACATAAATAAAAGTTATGCTTTGATAATACTGTTTACTATCATATTTATTTTGTTTATGTCATTTTGAAGAATATGGATAATCCTCAAATTAT